CAAAGGCGGTGCAGCCACGCTCTGCAGGAGCACCCGGAGCCACCAGGAAGCGGGAGCTCCACCGACAGGGCTTGCTCCAGAAATAGTGGGTCAACACCCAGCATCAGGTAGACCAAGTGACGGGGCACAATGGACGAAGCTGCTCGTAGGCACCGAGCATCGGGATCGACACAGCAAACTCTGACACTGGGCTCCGCGGAAGCCGTGCTGTTTCTGGCTGGATCGTGACCTCACGCAGCACCGTACTCTGCCGTTGTTCACAGGTGAGCCTGATCGCTTTTAGAACTTTGCCAAGAAGAGCACGTCGGGGCTCTTTGATTGCAGGCTGCGGGCCGGCTCTGGAGCACAGCCCAGCCCCCGGCTCTCATGCTTTGTCTCCAACATATTGGCTGCGTCCATTCTCCGCCCACAGCACCTGGGCTCAACTCCAGGGAAGACACAGCCATCCCCAGTGCCAGCCGGTCCCTGGGAGGGGCCGGTCTTGGGTCTCCATGGGGATGGCAGTCTTGCACCACGCCTGGGGCCCACAGCTCCTCCATGGACTCATCATGGCCTGTGCCCGATGCTGGGCGGGCACGGGGGTGACGATGGCAGGGAGCCCCCCTCTGGGAGCTGGGTATCAGCCGCTGATTCCTGTCAGTCTCAGCAGTCTTCAGAGGGGTGGGATTGTGTTCTAAACATGGCGGAGGACACATAGCAGGGGGTGCCTGTGTGCTGGGCTGGGGGCTGCTGGCTTGTCCCTTTGGCCTCACTGGGCGTGGTGGCGGGAACACCGATGCCCCCAACCCCCAAGGCACTCCTCCGACTCACCGGGGGCTTTTGCTCACCTCCCACCATTTGCCAGCTGAGAACAACAAGAATACCCGTCACTGAGTATGCTGACTGACAGCGTGCACATCCGCAGCACGCCCCCGGAAGTCAGAGCTCTCTGCAAGCCAGCATCGCCACCAGGAAGGCTGGCTCCGTCTTCCTCTCCAACATCTGCCTTACACGGAGGGGCCGCTGGCGCGGACGTGACACCAGTCACCCCGTGGCCTTTGGGAAAGGCCGTGTGCCACGTGGGAGGATGCGAGTGAACGGGGAGGTAACAGGAGGAAGCGGTAGGAAGGTACTTTTGGTTTTGTGGGCCCCTTGGAGAACTCTGCAAAAGTGATGACCCCAGAGGCAAAGGCTGCTATACTGCAGAACCGCCACTTGGTGGCAGCACAGGTCAACTAATCCCGCCAGCGCTTCGAGCCTCACAGCTCCATGAGAGCAGGGGTCCTGCAAACTTCTTACCTTTGTTGTCCTTTTCTTTCTCCATTTTGAAAAGGGCCTCAAACTAGAAAGACCTTCACCTTGAAGCCCTGTCCCAGGCAGCGTCAGCCACATGCCTGATGTTGGCAAGCTCACGTCCCTCTGGGCCTCAGTCTCCACACCTGCAAAATGGCTGCACGGGTCCCCTTTGCAGAGCAGGGAGGGCCTGGTCTGATGGGTGGGTGAACCATCTTTGAGGCTAGCAGCACCTGGCCTTGGCTTTAGCCCGAGATCTCCTGCAAACAGCTCGGCCTGGGGCCTGGCAGCCGGACCGGGCAGTAGCTTACCCGTCTGGGGGCAGTGGGACCCTGCCAGGCACAGTGTGTGACGTCTTTGGGCTTCGGTTTCCTCTTACGTGTACTAGGAATCATTATAGGCAGTCATATAAACACCGAGGGGGTAGCTCTGAGGTCACTACAAGGCAGGCTTTGCACGGCACCTGGCACGCAGGGAACGCTCAGAAAATGCCGCTGCCTCTGTTCCCTCCAGGGCGCCTGCTGGGTGAATCTCTGCTCTCCCGGTAAGGAGAGTAACAGCTCAGCGCAGGCCTGGAGCTGCCTGCCCGGCCAATCTGTGGGTTCCAGGCTTTTGCAGAACAGCCGAGGGAGAGCACCCGGCGTGCAGGTGACTCCCCCAGCGCCTGGCTCCCTGCCGGTCTGGTCTCCTGGGGCTGCCTACTGAGCATCTGTCCCTGCTGTGATCCTGTGGCTGGGTAGCTGGCGGGGGTGGCGTCCCCTGGTGCAGCAGGCGCCAGACCACAGGCACCGGATGACTAGGCCGCAAGTCTGGCGCCAGTCATTCAGAAAGCCCAGGTGCAGGAGAGCAAGCGCAGCCGAGTAGAGACACCCGGGCCCGGCCTGGCGGTGTTGGGCGGGAGCACCCCGCCCCTCTGTAAGCTGATCTGCCCTGCAGCTCGCTGGTCCCCAATCAGGCTTCGGCATCCAAGCAGCTCTGAGAACTCCAGGTGGGCTGTGACTCTTGGCCGTGACAGTTGACCACTTTGTGCGAATACTCGGATGTGCTGGAGGCTGGAACTGGAGGCTCTGGGCCTGCTGTGGGTGCTTGTGAAATAGGCTGTGTGAATTCGCGCTAACTCTGAGAGTGCGAGAGTGGGAATTCAGACGCCTGTGTGACCCTCAGCTTCTGGGTGGGGGAGTGCGGAGGGTGTTGGGATGGATTATCTTACCCCCAGGCTGCGGTCAGAAGAAACAGAACCAGGGCGTGTGCACCTGCTGTCCGCAGGCAAAGCACGAGGCGGAGTGGGCGGAGGGTCTGGAGTCAGAGGCAGCTGGGCGGGAATGCCTGCTCCAGGTCTCTCCGGCTGTGGGAACTCGGGGACGGCCCCTACCCTTTCTAAGCTTTGCTTTCCACAGCTGCCAAACAGAAATACAGATATCTGCTTCCCGCCGTCGAGAGGGAGTTGGGAGGTGCTGCCTGCCTGGTGCATACAGAGCAAGAGCTCATGTAGCAGGTGGCGGGGCCGCACGGGGAGAGGGACATTCAGTGCAGAGGTCACAGTGCTGTGCGGGACCCCTGCGTCCCATCTCAGAGGCCTGGCCGTGCTCCCAATGCCAGTTCCTTGCTGATGCATTTTCCGGAACATGATGGCTCAAGTACTTGGGTCCTTGCCACCCACATGGGAGACATGCATTGTCTTCAGCCTGGCCTAGTCCTGCCTGTTGCTGGCATCTGGGGGGTGAACCAGTGAATGAGAGACTCTCTCTCTCTCTCTCTCTCTCTCTCTCCCTCTCCCTCTCGCTCTCCCTCTCCCTCTCCCTCCCTCTCTCTCTCTCTCTCTCTCTCATGGAGTGGCAGCTGCTAGGGACTATATAGGCCAGAGCAGGGAGCCAGGCAAGGCAGCCAGACCCAGGGCGAGGAGCCCCCAGCATGGAGAGAGTGGGCAGCAAGGACCCCACGTGGCCAGCACTAGGAGTGTCTGGGAAGAAATGATAGAGAAGCTGCTGGAACAGCCCACCGGCTACTGTTCCAGAGTGAATCCTCCCACCTGCTAGTACAGCCCGGCCGCAGACGCCCACCTTGCCCGGCCCTGTGCCCCATACCCCGGCCCCACCGCACAGGGCTTTCTCCTCCTGAGAAGGAGATGGGGGCGCAGCACCAGGTCTGGTGGCCGCCAGCACTCAGTGAGGCCCAGGGGCGCCCCAGCGACCTCAGCTGGCTGCTCTCTGGTGCAGGTGTGGGCTCCTGGGCACACGGCATTGGGAGCGGCGGCCTGTTCTCACAGTCTTTGGGGACCCTCACAAATCTGTACACGTAAGTTGCCAAGAAACCTGTGTCTCTCCATGCCAGCTAAGGCTTAACAAACGGGCAAACTCGTCACCCCCTCCCCTTGCCTCCCTTGGCTGAACTCCTTCCCCTTCACCCTGGGCTGGGCTGCAGGCAGCGGACTAAGCTGTGCCCACCCTGGCTGCTCAGGAAGCCCCAGGCCTCCAGCGAGACGAGAACGTGTCCCCTGTGCCTCAGAGCTGGCACTCGCTGACGCGGCTGATGTTGCGCCTGAGCCTAGACGCTGTTCCTGCTGCTCCGACCCTTCTCTAGTACCCGATGAAAAGACACGGGGACACAAGCCCGCCGGGGAGCGGGGCCCCTCTCATTCTGGCTTCACCGTGGTGTCCGCTCTGCAGGCTCTTCCTGCACCTCGGGCCGCAGCCCTCCCCAGCCCCACACCTGCAGCTGCTGGGTGACCTGAAGCTCACATGGCGTGGCCGCTGGCATCTGCCCCCTCCCCAGTGGCCAGGTGTGTGGAGCCCGGCCTGGGGCTGCCTCGAGGTACGGGGCAGGAAACGCTTGCCATGGTCTGTTGGTGGCTTAAGGAGGCTGGATTCTCCAAGGTGAAGGTGTTGAGGGCCCTTTAAGAGAGGCAGGTGGGTGTTTAAGAGGGGAGAGGCTCTCACCGGAAGTCAGCCTCTGGAGCCCTGAGGACAGCAGACCTCTGCACTTTATAAAGTCCTCAGCCTCAGCTGTTCTGTCCTAGGCACACAGAGGGAACTCAGACGCCAGCCTTCCAAGCACCTGTAGTGCATCGTGTACTCTGTGGTCTCCAGGCGTGCACGAATCCAGTCTAGACACCGGTTTGTACCCGCTTTCACAGCTCAAAGGCTTCCCTTGCCTGCACTGAGCCCATGTTTCTACAGCACCGGCGCTAGATGGGAGAGCGGAGGAGAGGCAGTTCCCAGCGTGCACACCGGGAGAGGCGGCAACAAGCACTCGGCACGGTGAGTTGACGTGAGACGGCATCTTGGCTGGGGTCGGCCTCGCGGAAGGCAGGCCGGGCCCGGCATTCGGGGAGAGGGGCAGGTGGAGTACTAAGGTGGGCGTAGCTGCAGCTGCCCCGGGCTGGCAGCCTGCCTCGCTCGGCCAGCCCCGAGCCTGTCCCCCGGGTGTGCTGCCACGCGCTGGGGGCTCGCTGGAGATCTCCTGGCTCCCAGGTTTCTCTGGCTTTGATGCCCTGACCCAAGGGCCTGCTCCCAAGCGCTTCTCCCAGGTGAGCTGCCAGCTGTTGGCTCTCTCACCTGTGCCCAGGCCACCATGCTGGAGCAGTCTCCCCACGCGTGAAGTCAGCTGTGCCCTGAACCGCCCACCCTCAGGCCTGCCCTCAGCCTCGGCCAGACGGCGCCCCCACCACGGCCTCCCGGCCCACCCTGGGGTCCCGTGTCTTTATTTTTTTTTTTTATTTTTTATTTTTTTTGACAGGCAGAGTGGACAGTGAGAGAGAGAGACAGAGAGAGAAAGGTCTTCCTTTGCCGTTGGTTCACCCTCCAATGGCCGCCGCTGCAGCCAGCGCACTGCGCTGATCCGATGGCAGGAGCCAGGATCCAGGTGCTTTTCCTGGTCTCCCATGGGGTGCAGGGCCCAAGCACCTGGGCCATCCTCCACTGCACTCCCTGGCCATAGCAGAGAGCTGGCCTGGAAGAGGGGCAACCGGGACAGAATCCGGCGCCCCAACCGGGACTAGAACCCGGTGTGCCGGCGCCGCAAGGTGGGGGATTAGCCTATTGAGCCACAGCGCCGGCCCCGTGTCTTTATCATCATAGGCTCTGCCCCTCCTCCAGGGGCTTGGATGTCTCTGCTCTGAGCAGACAGGGCTAAGCAAGTGCCAGAGAGTAGCTCGTGTGCCTTTTCTCATGCATATTTATTCCAAAATAAAGAGAATTGTGAATGTTCACAACGGACTCAGAATAGCTTACTTGATTCCTACAATCACAACCCCTAAAGAGAAGGCTTCTGCCATGCAATAAATAGAATAAATAACATCTCCTCATCACGTCCTGGCTGTCATCCCCGGCCTTGCTTCTTTCTGGAAGACCTCCAGGAGCGTCCTCAGGAACGTCACCGTGGTGCCCGCCGTGGTTTGGTTGCAGGGCTGCTCACAGGAGAAAAGCTGCAGGGACAGAAACACGCAAGGGCAGCGTGACTAAATCAGTCGGGACCCGGGGACCCCGGAGCCCAGAGCGTGGTCCATCTAGGGGTGGGACTGGCAGGCAGGGGGCTGAGGGGGTCCAGGCCCAGCTCAGCTGCTCCGTGGGGCTCCAGGGCCTGCTGACACACACTCTGAGACACGGCCTGATGGTCCCACTGCAGGAGATCTTTTGTGGGATGCTTTAGGGCCTGCTGTGTGTCAGGACGCTCTTTGGTTGTCCCTCCAAGTTCACTTTAGTTCAAGTTCACATGGGCCCGAGTTCACATCTCAGCCCTGTCACTCCTTCACCATGAAGCATGATGCAACTGAGCCAGCATCACTGGGCTTCTCTCTCCTCTTTCATGGGTGGAGGTGAAAGGGTGTAGGGGCACCCCACAAAGCGCTGGGAGCATAGAGTAAGAAGAGGAGCTCATTTTGACACAAAAAATGAAAGCCATGCATTTGCTTGTCATGTAATACGCATATTCCATGGGGTTTTTGAAGCTGCACCCCTTGTGCTGAGAACCAGGTGCTGTTGAGGGTACGTTGCTGGGCACATGGCTTGCAGCTGATCCCACGGGAGGCAGGAGGGCCCCGGCACCCCCTTGCCCGGAGATCAGTGGGCACTGGCCTGGGGCGCCTACTCCTGGGCACATGTAGGTGGCCAGCAGCCGGCCTGACCAGGTGCATTTCCCCTCTGCACCTCCTTAGCCTACAAGTACAGAAAAGTGGCCCTGAGCTTCAGGCCCGGCACCCGTCCCATCACTCGCTGGGATCCTAGGCTCGTTTAACTCTGTGTGGGCTGGCGCCTGCCTAGATAATCCTCACGATTGCTGCTCAGTACACGCAGGAAGAATTCGCTCCTTACTCAGTGCTGGAGAAAAGCGAACGGCCACATCAGCGCAGGAGCTTTCAAAAAGTGGGGGACAGTGCAACGTCTGGGGCAGATGTAACCCTGTCACTTCTGATTTCTCAGATGGCCCTTAGCAACCCTGAGCTACCGATTCCCGTCCCTCCCGGCTCACATGGGACTGGTGTCCACACGCAGCAGCGGCCGGAGCGTGAGCGCGTGGTGCAGAAAAGCCAACTCACCGGACACTTGCTCTTCAAGGCTTCCACCGTTCTTCTCACGCGGTTGAAAATCAGCGAGAGTTTTGCATGTGCCTTGGAGTTGGCCGCCTGGGATAGCCCCTCCTGGAAACACGGCGTGGTGCAGTTGTCCTGGGGAACAAGAGAAGCCTGCCAGGACGGCTCTGGGCAGGAGCCACCGGATGTGGTGCCGGAGACCGTGTTAGCCAAGGGAACCCAAGCTCGCGGGGTTTGCACACAAGACCCCGGCAGACCAGGAAGCCGTGCTATTCCGAGCTGGGACCATGTTTCCACATGAGCGTCCCTGGAGGAGATTCCAGAATGTTCCTCCCCTCTTCTCAGACACACGGACCCAGGCGGCGGGGTGGTCTCCCTTCAGCTGACATGGGAAGCTCAGAGTGCCCAGGCTTTGCTCGAGAGAGAGGAGGAGAGGCGGAGAGGGAGAGGGAGCCCCCAGCACTGCCCCTGGGCAAGGACTTCCTCCCGACTCCACCCGGGAGCTGGGACGTTCTGCTGCCCGTCCTTGCTGCCAGAGCGGCCGGCGCTCCTGTCTGAACCCCTCTCGGGCCACACTCAGACACTCAGACTCTCTGCACAGGCAGAGGAAACCCACACAGGAAGAGGGGGAGTCGAGTGCGAGCACAGCGCTAGTGTCAGCCAGATAAGAGACGGGGTCATCGCTGGCGCAGCTTTGCAACCTTAGTGTTAGCAGCAAATGGGGTGGAAAGCAGGAGGACAGGAGCCACAGCATTCGCTATTTTCTCACTCCCAGTGTGGTTTCATCGCACACCTGACCCATCACCTAGGGGGACAGTCGGGATTCTTTGTTAAATGTTGAGAAGTGTCCACACTTCCTTTTCAAGGTCCTAAAGCTAACAGTACAAAGGAATGTATGTCACACAGGATTTCAAGAGCCTGGTTTTCTTTAAAAGAAATACTGGGGCCAGCGCTGTTGTGAAGTGAGTGAAGCTGCCTCCTGCAATGCCAGCATCCCATATGGATGCCGGTTCGAGTCCTGGCTGCTCCACTTCCAATCCAGCTCTCTGCTATGGCCTGGGATAGCAGTAGAAGATGGCCCAAGTCCTTGGGCCCCTGCACCTGCATGGGAGACCTGGAGGAAGCTCCTGGCTCCTGGCTTCAGATCAGCTCAGCTCCAGCTGCTGCAGCCATCTGGGGAGTGAACCAGCAGATGGGAGACCTCTCTCTCTCTCTCTGCCTCTGCCTCTGCCTCTCTGTAACTCTGCCTTCCAAATAAATAAATAAATCTTTAAAAATAAGGGGGCGTATATTAATCTGAAATCATTGCGCTTAAGTAACCACGGCTACCTTACAATATCAAGTAAGGCCATTCCTTATTACATAAACCTTAAAGACCCAGGATCAAGATTCCGTTCTTCCACTGTACTTACAGACGGGATGGGCAGACACAAGCAACCGGTCACCTGCAAAAGAGACATTTCAGAGTGAATATTCCGGATGTGGACCTGCGGATACGTCAGAAAGTTGGTAAGAGCGGGCTCACTCACGTTGGTGCTGCAGTCGCATTTTGAAAGCGGATCATCCTAAGGTGGGAGAGAGACAAAACCCACAGTGAGTGGCGCGTGTTTCTGCCCATCTGCAGGTACAAGGGGTCTTCCCAAAGTTCATGGAAAGTGCATGTTAGGAGAGTAGGCATGGATTTCAGAATTCATGGTGCCAAGACGAGTCTGTCTCCTAATCCTGCTTTCCATGAACTTCTCCGTGTCCCCTGGTGTCTCACGAAGGCGCTGGTCAGCTGCCTTCCTGCTACGCTTCCCGCAGCCTACCTGTAGACTGTGGATGAGGAAGTCCACATCCCTGACCCCTGCCCGGGTCAGACACCCCTGGGCTGCTACGGAGCAGAACAGGAGGGAGGAGACAAGGACCACGGCCAGAAGCATCTCGGCACGGGGCTGCAGCTCAACCTGCAGACACCTCCCGATCCAGACTCATTTAAAGCCCCTTGTCAAACGTGGAAAATCCCTGACATCAAACTGATACCACGAGCCCACTTTTTCTCCGTAAGTCGGGGCCACTTGATATTGAGAACAAATCACACTGAGTCACTTGCCAAAGTTTTTTCGTGTGTTGTGCCGGGAAATAGCATTCCTCAGAAAAGATGCTGTGTGCAGCACGCGGGCTGTGCCTCTGCAGAAGTTAAAGATCTGAACCCCTGCACACAGGCGCACACGTGGGTGCTGGGCACGGATCGCGGCTGGGAGAGTCGGGACGCTCCCCGTGGGCCTGGCTCTGTGTTTTCCTTTGCACATATAGGAAACACTGATGCAGTCCTGCGTGCGCAAGAAGGGACGGGGTGGGGTGCTGGGAGGTGGCGGTGCGCCTCCCCTGTCTTCTGGGGTTTTCCCTGGGTGATTACAACCACAGGCTTGCTGTATGTTGTTCTCCAATCTGAATGATGAGCAGAATTTCATTTCACGCCCGTACACCTGCGAGGTATTCCTAATGCAAATGTCTGAAAGATCTGGAGCTGTACACGTCAGACAGCAGTAACCCCCCTGCATGGTCAAATCGGCCCCTTTGCAGCTTCAGAGACTTGTCTTACACAGCGCTGTGGAACACCAGGCTGAGACTCGGGCATGTGACATGGTGACCCCTAACGCTGAGTGAGCACGCGTCCCACACCAGTCACAGCTGTAAGCATTTTGTGTGAATTCAGCCATGTCCCATGCACAGCCACCGAGTGAGGAAGGTACTAACTTACCATTCCTGTAGCTTTTTATTTACTGACTTTCAGTGTATTTGGAAGGTGGACACACACAGCGGGGGTGTCTTCCATCCAGTGGTTCACCCTCTAAATGCCTGTGACAGGTGAGGCTGGGTCAGGCGGAAGTCAGGAGCCCGGAACTCAACCCGGGCCTCCTGTGTGGACGGCAGGCAGTGAGGACTTGAGCCGTCACCTGCTTCCCCCCAGGGTGTATTGGCTGGAAGCCGAATGGGCACTCTCATACAGGCAACTCCTGTACGGAACGTGGCATGCCAAGGAGTCTTAACCACCGTGCCAAACGCCTGCTCCCCGTCCTTTGCCTCCTCAAAGCCTGTCCGCGTGCGATCACTGGGAGCCAGGGAGCAGCCTCAGTAAAAGCTGTGGTAACCCTCACCATTGCACAGTTGGGGAAACCCAGGCACAGAGAGGCTAGCACTTTGCCCAAAGCCACGTGGCCAGGAAGCCCCAGACTCTATCAAAACCCAGGATTTGGCCTGCGTCCGGCTCCAGCCCTGCCGTCCTCCTGCCCCTCCCTCCAGGACGCATGCTCCGTCCAAGGCGCTTGCAGGGCCCATCCTCCTCCGTGTTGTCAGCGCGCGGGCAATTGCCAGGGGCACTGTGGGCTGTCGCTGACGGCTTGTGGAATTGAGACGTTCCTTTGAGATGTACCTCTTGAAACAGGAAGGTGCGTGTACGGGACCCTGGAAGGCTCCAGGTCTCATTTCAGGGGTGCCTATTTGGAGGTGTGCACACAGGTAAGGAAAGGGTGGGGCTCTTGGGCTTCGCCCCCTGAGCCAGAGCGGCTGGTGGGGCACATGCCTGCGAAGCCCTCCCCACTCCCATGCTGTTCTGCACCTGCTCCCCAGGAGCGAGGCTGGCAGTGGTGGCCGCGCTGTGGGGAAGGGACTGTGTCTGTGGCAAATGTGGTAAAGAGAAACTTGGCAAAATCCCCCAAGTCATCGCATCGCCGTGACTCGCGTGCCAGACACTTGAGAGAGCCGAGGGTTCTCCCAGCCTGGGGCATCAACTCAGGGACCCAAGCCCTCTTCTCCCAGACTGATGTAGCCAAGGAGAGATCCGCCCTGTCAGCCTCGTTCACTGCTCCCTGGCGCCGTGTGACGTGTCTTCACCAAGGTCATACTCATAGAATTATTTTGCTTTCCTGGTCACAGGAGACAAACATGGCTGAAACCTGCCATTCTCCCTTATTCCAGTCGGAGGCTGGGGAAGGTGGCAGGAGCTGCAGCAGCAATCTTGTAACTGAGGGGATGGGCAATGGAATTCTAGCAGTGGCAACACTAATGTTTAACATAGATGGATAAGAATCCTAAGAAGGATAAAGCATGAGACCACAGAAGCAACAATGCAGAGGGACACTGAGAATACAGCTGTGATTCTGACGATGTGGCAGCTATCATACTGGAGAACATGGCTTAGGAACCTGCTTCTCTTAGTAAAAGAAAAACGGGGGACCGGCACTGTGGTGTAGCAGATAAAACCGCCACCTGCAGTTCTGGCATCCCAGATGGGCGCCGGTTTGAGTCCCGGCTGCTCCAGTTCTGATCCAGCTCTCTGCTATGGCCTGAGAAAGCGGTAGAAGATGACCCAAGTCCTTGGGCCCCTGTACCCACGTGGGAGATCTCTAAGAGGCTCCTGGCTCCTGGCTTCGGATTGGCGCAGCTCCAGCTTTTGTGGTCACCTGGGGAGTGAACCAGCGGGTGCAAGGCCTCTCTCTTTCTCTCTGCCTCTGCTTCTAACTCTGCCTTTCAAATAAATAAAGCTTCTTTAAAATAAAAGAAAAATGGACACTGGGATGCCTTGGTGAGATGTTAAAGATACGTTAGCATCACACACTGCCTCTTTCGCTAACATCACAGGGGGCTGGAAGGAGACCCGAGGGGGCACCCTCTTACCACCCTGTGGGTCACTATCATTTAATGCTTGGCCCACGTGCTGGGAGGTGTCCCTCTCCCATGGAAGTAACAGGACACTGCCCTTCTCACCTTGCAGGGCGAGACCGCACCCCCTGCAGGAGGCGGGCTTGCCCAGAGCCCCGCCTTGAGCTCTTGGTGGAAAACCTTGTGTGCAGCGGATCCGGCCACTCGCCCTGGAATGGGGCTCCCTGGCTTCAAGCCCTGTCTCTGCCACTTGTTAGCTCGGCCTCCCAAAGCAGGCTGGACCTCCTGGCTGGCAGTAGGGATCGGGATGTGGCGAGAGGGGATGAAGTTGTGCTGGCAAGGATTCCAAGAAGTGGGCCCTCAGCGCTTCGCTTGGATCCACAGCCTCCACTGGAAGTCGGTCAGGACGAGCTAGAACCGGCTTCCCAGGTCTGCGTGCTGGGAACAACTTTATCTTGTGAATGGGTTGTGCAGTAGCATTTAACCAACGCCCACAAAGTACAATATGCGCTCGAGACCGTGTGCCCATCACGGGAGACGTTGGCGGCCCCAGGCCTGGCTCTCGTGGCCGCACCTGGTGCTGGGAAGATCACCATTCTCGCCCCGTGCCTGGGGCCAGGGCACCTGGGCCTTCGCCCACGGGGAAGAGCGTCAGCCGGGGCGAGGAGCCAGATCTTCCGGAGTGGGGGGGCCACTGCCTCCTCGGCTTTGTGTAGGGCAAGCACGGAGGCCCCATCACATGGAGGTGATCTCGGGGTGAAGCCAGGGTCCTGCGGCCAGAGGTATCTCAGGCAGGCCCCACTGAGGAGGGAGGAAAGCGAGGGAGCCCACAGCCCTCTCCCCAGGGCAAGGCCTGGCCTGGCCAGCCGGCCTGGAGTCACCCTCCTCTCTGCCTGTCCGGGCGCCGGCACAGAGATCAGGGACGGTTCTCACCAGGGCTCTTGGCTGTCACCCGTGAGCAAGGCCCCTCCGTCATGGAAGGAAGGGTGTGTGCCAGCTGGGACGATTTTCTCAGGAAGGAGCCGCGTCTCTGGAAACTTGCTCTGGTCTGGTCCCGACCCGCGCGCTCTGGACGCCCCTGCTCTGCCCCCTGCAGCGCACTGGTGTCTTTCTAGCCGCAGCCCCTCGGCCTTCCCATCTGCAGTCCTCCTCCTCCAGGAGGCCCTCCTGACTGCAGTGATGATGCATCCGTCTGTGCTCTGGGCTCTGTTTCTCCTGGAGGAATTAAGCTCCCCGAGAGCTGCTGGTGTGACTCTCGTTCATCACTGTAGGCCCTTTGTTCAGTGCTCGGGAGCTACTGATTCATGAATCAGTGGTCATTTGATTTTGCACACACATATGAAACTTAGTTATGAAATGGCCCATGCACGCTTCCCATGAGATGAGCAACCAACGAAAGCAGCTCTAGCATTCAGAAAACACGAAGGGGCCAGACATTTGGGGAAGGACTAAGCCAGGACGAAGGCAGACGCTCCCTGGTCTCCAGCCCCACCTGCGGGTGCGGGGCTGGAGAGCTTGGGACAGGCTTTCCTCTTAGAACTGCCTTTGGCACCTGGTCGGGAGCACCAGGGCAGCGCGTGGGCAAGGGGCAACCCTTGAGCTGTTGGGGCGGAAGCCGGGGGCCCAGAGGTCCCTTCCCGTCTCTACAGCCACTGAGTTACAGAGGGAAAGGCTGCAGAGGGCTCAGGGCTAGCGCTGCCACCGCCATTCAGAACATCATGGCAACACCAGATGTTTATCGCGGCGCTGCGGCATCGGCTGCAGCCTGTGGGTGCCGGCTTCTAGTATTCCTCTCGGTATCGAATTGCAAGTATGCAAATGATTTCCTGTCGGCTCAGCAATTAATTACTCACCTACTTTAAATATCAAGGAGTCTGGATGTGACCGTGATAGCAAACTTCTCAATAAACGACAGAAGACAAGCATCAGCCATTTCTGTTGTTGCAAAGATAAAGTCTGACATTTGTGTTCTCTGATGACAGCCCCGTGTCATGGATAATTTCTCTAGGAATTGCACAAAAGGGGTATTTGTTCCAGGAAGCCACGGAATTTCTAAGTAAAACCCACTCTGTGTTTTACTCCACACAGCTAAGAGATAACAAATTATTAGAATCCTCAAGTGCCAATTTCTTAATCAAACCGTTATTTTGAGATTTTCCCAACCAAAGTGCAAGACAGGGGCTGGGGGCCCCGGCAGGCTTCTGCCCAGAGCACAGCTCCCAGGGCTTTGCTCCTCGGATGCCCACACGCAGATTCCGGGGCTGTTTCCCGGGACGGGGCCCATGCGCGGCTTCTCATGGCACCCTGGCCA